AGAGCTACTTTTCCAAGAGCTGCTCTCCAACACTTAGACTGGGAGGGAACATTGGCATCGATGAACACAACACAGAAATGGGAGTTCTTCAAAAAGACCGTATGTGAACACACTGCAAAATATACCCATGGGCAACAAGTTTTTAAAAGGCTAAAAATCGAACCTATGTGGCTTACGGACAAAGTTAAAAAAGCTATAGATAATAAGAAAAGCGCTTTCATCAACTAAAAAAATGAAGGAACACTATCATCGGTTAAACAATACAAAGAATATAACAGAATATGTAAAAAGTCAAGTCAAGGCTGCAAAAAATTAAAACGAACAACAGATTGCAAATGATAGTAGGATGAACCCCAAAAAATTCTTCAAATAAATTAATAGTAAAAAAGGTCCGGTCCGACCATGTAGGCCCTTTACAAAATCATCCAGAGTGGGTGACTGGGGACAGAGAAGGCAAATTTCTTCAGCTCTGTGTATATAAAGGAGCATGGGGGAGCTCTTGTCCATAATGGGCATGGTAATGACACAGCTCCAGATGATCCACATTGGCTTACAATTGATATGATCCAAAAATATTTAGACAGAATAAAGGTGAATAAAGCATCTGGACCGGATGGCATATACCCACGGGTCCTTTAAGAATTGACATTTTAAAGCCATTGTTTCTAATTTTTAGGGACTCTTTAATGACTAGCATAGAACCAAAGGATTGGCATAAGGTCAGCGTGGTGCCTATATTTAAAAGGGATCAAAATCTTTACCAAGTAATTACAGACCTGTTAGTTTAACTTCTATAGTTGGGAAGATACTGGAGAGTTTAATAAAAGACCACATAGATGAGTTCTTGCTAAAAAAAAAAAAAAAAAAATCTGATTTCTTTTTATGAGGGGGGGAGCAAAACCTTGGACAGAGGGGTGGCGGTGGACGTGGTATACTTGGATTTTGTAAAAGCGTTTGACACAGTTCCCCACACACGGCTAATGTGCAAGGTGAAGTCTACAAGTTTGGAAAAATCTGTATGTAAATGGATAGAAAACTGGGTAAAAGATCGTATTCATAGAGTAGTGGTTAATGATTCATACTCTGAATGGTCTAGGGTTGTAGTGGTGTACCCCAAGGTTCAGTGCTGGGACCCTTACTTTTTAATATATTTATAAACAATATGGGGTCTGGGATTAAAAATCCCATTTCAGTCTTTGCAAATGACACCAAGCTGTGCAGTGGAATAACGTCCTTACAGGATGTCTCCAATTTACAAGCCACCCTCAATGCACTGTTTAATTGGGCAACTATGTGGTAAATGAGGTTTAATGTTGATAAATGTAAGTTATGCACTTGGGGGCTAAGAATATGCATGCATCATACATACTAGGGGGGTACAATTGGGGAAATCCATGTTGGAGAAGGATTTGGGAGTTCTGGTAGATCACAAGCTTAATAATGGCATGCAATGCCAAGCTGCGGTTTCTAAAGCGAAGAAAAAATCCTCTCTTGTATTAAGAGGTATAGACTCCAGAGAGAGAGATATATCATATTAGATTATAAGCTCAAAAGAGCAGGGCCCTCGAACCCCTCGTGTAGTGTATTGTTACTGTTTTGTCTCATGTTCTGCTCCCCTTGCTACTGTACAGCGCTGAGCATACCCTTTTGGCGCTATATAAATACTGTATAATAATAATATTACCCCAGTAGAAATCATTAGTAATACCTCATCTGGAATATGCAGTTCAGTTTTTGGGCACCAATTCACAAAAAAAAAACATTGGGGAACTGGAGAAAGTACAGAGAAGGGCAACCAAACTGATAAGAGGCATGGAGGAGCTCAGCTATGAGGAAAGATTAGAGGAACTGAATTTATTTCTTTTGAGAAGAGATTAAGGGGGGAAATGATCAACATGTATAAATACATCAGTGGTTCATATAGTGAACTCGGTGTAGAGCTATTCACCCTGAGGTCATCAGAGGACAAGGGGGCACTCTTTATGTCTGGAGGAAAAGAGATTTAATCTCCAAATACAGAAAGGTTTCTTCACAGTGAGAGCTGTGAAAATGTAGAATAGACTCCCTCAAGAGTTGGTTCTGGCCAGCTCAGTGGATTGCTTTAAAAAAGGCCTGGATTCTTTCTTTTATACACAGAATATAACATTTATAGGTAAAGTTGATCCAGGGAATATCCAATTGCCTTTCAGGGGATCAGGAAGGATTTTTTTCCCCTGCAGGAGCAAATTGGATCATGCGTTGCTATGTTTTTTGCCTACCTGGATCAACTGTGAGTGTAGGATTATAACTTTTTTTTTTTTCTTTATAGTTGAACTGGATGGACTTTTGTCTTTTTTCAGCCAGACTAACTATGTAAGTATGTATGTAACTCTGCCTCATAGCCCAGACATATGAAGAATATGGGAGATTGTTGTCACATGTATCACACAGCCAGTACTTGCCAGATATTCTTGCAGCTCCTTTAATGTTGCTTTAGGCCTCTGGGCAGCCTCCCATCAATTTTGGAGGGACATCCAATTCTTGGTAATGTCGCTGTTGTGCCATATTTTCTCCACTTGATGACTATCTTCACTGTGTTCCATGGTATATCTAATGCCTTGGAAATTCTTTTGTACCCTTCTGACTGATACCTTTTAAACAATGAGATCCCTCTGTTGCTTTGGGAGCTCTCTGTGTACCATGGCTTTTGCTGTAGGATGTGACTAAGAAAGGAAAGGCCTACTAGAACAGCTGAACTTTATTTTGGGTTATTCAGAGGCACTTTAAATGATGGCAGGTGTGAAAGGTGGAAAACGTTCTGAAATTATTTATCTAATTTTTTTACATCACAGAAACCTGACATTTGAACAGGGATGTATAGACTTTTTATATCCACTGTATGTGCTTGGGTGTAACTCTGTAATTTTTTTTACTTAGCTTTTATTTTTTTTCAATCACATAAGGAACAAAGCGTCCCCTATGTGATGATTTTTTTTGTGCAAGGTTCTCTGGGACATGCCTCCCCCCTGCTCCATTGAATGTAATGCAGTGCAGCAGAGCTCACTGCATTACATTCTTTCCTGGCCTTGATGGCCAGGAAATCTATCAATGGGGACCCAGAAGTGACATCTTACATGTCGCTTCTAGGTTAGGACAAGAAGCGGGAGGAGAGCAGACATGTGTCCGCTCTCCTCCCTTCCATCTACCACTGTGCCTGTCCTGGGCCCACAGATGGGTAAGTGGAGCACAGGATACATAGCGCAGGGGTCTGGCATATTAGCGTGGTGTGTGGAAGTAATTATTCATTCAATTAGCGTCTGAATGCTTCCACCTTGCAAGCACTGCCCGCAGCAGGGCTATTTGTAGGAAAAAAACTACCTGCCTGCCGCCCAGAGCTACCTGCCAGGCGATATAAATTGCGCATCCCCTGTCCTCTCCCCCCTCTTATACTTTTGGATTCTTTTCTTTCTTTGAGGGGGCACCGATTTCTGACAGCTACCCTCTCTACTTCTGCCCAGATAGCCTAGGCGACCCGAGTGGAAATTCACACCCCCCTTATTTGTGGCTGCTGACTTTGAATAGGAACCCTGGAACCAGAAAAATTAAAAGACCATTATTGGAAAGAAAAATAGTCAATGACAGTATTTCAGACCTTTTAGATTATTCTCCACATTTACCACGGTCAAGCTGTTTAAAAAAAAAAAAAAAAAAAAAAACGTGACGGGCTGAGATGAGCTTTAACACTGTCAGACGGTCCTGCATAGCGCATGACTAGGGCCCGCTCACATGGTGTATTACTCTTTATTAGGTCCCCTTCTGGACAAACAAGCATTAACTGCCTCCTGCCAATGCACAGATGAGGCCAGGCAGGACAAGCGATGTTCTGGACAAGTTCTGGGGGGAAGCACTGGTCCTTCCACTTCTGGCGCTTGGGCTGTGGAGCCATGTGATCTGTGACCTGATCACTGATTTGATGTACTGGGCCGCTCTAATTGGCCCTGGTACCATGTGATCGTCATTTAGCACATTTCTGCAATACAAGTTTTGTCTCTTAAAAAACACTACAAATACAAAACACGTTGATATGCCAGAAATTCAGTGTGCTCCTAATTTCCTGTTTTAAGCTGACAACACCATTCATTGAAAAAATAAGGTGGTCTTTGACAGAGGTGCCAAGCAAGCAACTCAAGTACAGGTCTATGCACACTCCCAACACTTTTTATTTGATCTGTTAAATATACCAAGAAAAACAATTTTTTTGATCTGTTCTTTAACTGCAGAAATATTTGTAGATCCTGCCAGAAATCCAGTAGGTTAGTAACCCGCTTGTGCTTGCTGTCTGTGATCCAACTGCCAACACTCAGCACCAGAGATAGGTGAGAATAATGCTGTTTTATGGAGATGGGGATAGTTAAATGTTTTCTGTAGTACTGTGAGCTACAGGAAAAGTTACTAGCAGGATAATTAATGAATGAACTAGATATATTTTTACAAGGCAACCTGCCCATTTACCATTTGTGATGGTCTAATTTACTCCAAAAAAGACCAATAAACCTAAAGAGGGAAAATAAACATGTAATGTGAAATGCTGCTAGTCCCATTTACCAATGTGTGTATAGAGACATCTGTTCCTGCACAGTACTTATGTAACATTATCAGCCATGCAGCCAGCTGATCTCTGTGTGAGCCAACGGATGCTGATCACAACAGACAATGCGCTTTTCTTCTGTGGTTTCTCAGCTGGGTGACTCCTATCTTTCAACAATATGATTTTGTTTGGACATTTGCTTATGTAAATGAAATCTTTTTAGATTGTGTGGAACTACTAGTGCCGGCATAGCCTCCGACATGAAAGAATTGTGGATGAGTTGCAGAAGGTCTGTTCCAGCTTCTGATTATTGTGTATAAGTAGGCTTGCTAGCTGTTCTGGAATCCAAAGGGTTAAGGAACTGGGAGGACTGGCCAATGCAGTGACTTTGTTTCCGTAGGAAGGGCCCGGTCATGTGACTTCTTCTATCCAGCTTCCCCCACCACAGGGGCAGGAAATTTTAGGGTGGACTCCAGAGATAGCAGTTCCAGAAAGCAGACTCTCTATGAGAAGAATGGATCTTCGGAACGTCTTCAGACACTGGTTCAGTAAGTCTCTGTCCTGCAGGGTTATCAATAGTCGTCTCCTTCCCTCTGCTAGGACAATGCTTCTCTTTAATCACTGCTTTCCCAGTGCATTGTGGCTGAGAACAGTCCCTCCTCTTTCTTCAGTGCTTTGCACAGGATATCACTCTCTGGGTGGCATGCTCCAGTGCAGGTGAACTTTCATTCCTTCTAGGAAGGGCTGTGCCTTTCTTTACTCATTCTGTACCTATTCCTGAGTACTTGGGTGAAGTTTGAACATCTTGTAGTTTAACAGCATTTAATTATTGAACGTGTTTGTAGAGGTGACGAATTTCTCGCCTCATTGCCGGATTAGTTTGTATTTCCCATAAAAGCTACAGAATCTGCTCTAAAACTTTTTGTATAAAGAGATACATGCCCATATGAATACGTGTGTTAACGGGCTTATTTCATGCATTTGTTTTATGGCCACCTTTAAATTAATGCGCTGTGGTGACATTCCTTGTCATTGGCACCTGACACACCGTTGTGCGTTGTAGTGCATTGTGTTACAACTTGTGTGACACAGACGATCTGGTGTGTTGGCAGCTATTATTTTTTTTAATGCACGGCTTAGATGCGACATACATTAATTCAAAACGTAAATAATTCCGAGTGTATAGTTCTTTGAAGCAGGGTGGATTTGATTTAAATCAAACTGATTTAAATCACGATTTAAATCACTAGTCAGTAAGGCTTGATTTAAATCCTAGTTTTCTACATAGACTAATTCTTGCTGGTATAACTTTAATATGCAAGTAGATGAAGATTTTTAGAATAACAACTTTTCATATTAGTTTTTTTATCCCCAGTTTAATAGGCTAATCATTCATATTTGGAAAACGTTTTCTGTTGTACTTAGGAAGGAGAAAAATAATCATTACCTTAATAATAACAATTTAAATATATTTATTCAACTGAAACAATAACATTCCAGCATATGTTATTTGCTTAAACATCCATGTTTGTTAACTAATTTTGGCTAAACAAAATATATATATTTTAAGAAATTTAGACTGTCAGCCCCTTCCTCCTCACACTTAGTTTCACTTTCTTCTTGTGCAGATCTATTCCACTCCAAACAATCAGAAAAATATTGTTTCTATTATATTCACTGAACTTCTTGAAACTTAGCACTGAAGGGGTTGATTCTGTATTCATAGTTTTGTAGAAGTTAGGATTAAGGTCTTTTTCTTAACTCTGTTCATGTTATAACATTTTTGCTGTGAAGAAAAGGCATGTGATCTCCGCTGAGTCAAATTCAGTTTTGAGAACTGCAAAAGTAAACCAAGCATCTGTGATAATATATTGTAGGCAGAGAAACTGCCCAATAATCTTACAAAAACCTCTGGAAGAGCATGATATTGTGAATGGATTAATGGAATTTACCAAAAAAATTAAACATATACAGCCTTATTCTATATAATTAAAAAACAAATCTTTATTTCATGATGAAATAACCTTTGGATGGTAATATATTTTCCTCAAAAAGCATTTTATTAAAAAAAAATCCGATTTTAAATTAAAAAAATCCGATTTTTTTTTTTTTTTTTTTTTTTTTTTTTTTTTTTTTTTTAAATCATTGATTTTTATCCACCCTGCTTTGAAGTGACCCTGTTGCTACAGAGCAATAATAAAATGTGTTTATGTATGTATGTGTATATATATATATATATATATATATATGTATATATCTATGTGTGTATATATGTGTGTGTGTGTGTGTGTGTGTGTATATATATATATATATATATATATATATATATATATATATATATATACACACACACACACACACACACAAGCTCTTTGTTGATAAAGTTCAGTTAATTGCAACTCATGTTAATGAAGGGGTATTTTGTGTAAAAGTAGGAGTTTGAGGCATGTGTTTAAGGGCTTGTTCACACTTGACTGTTTTCCAACTCTTGCCAAACACCCCTATAATGTTTGCGGAGCGTTTTTAACACTCTGCAAACGCCGCATGCGCGGTTTAGCGGAGGTTGCTAGGCATTTGCCAAGCGTTAAAAACGCCCCACAAACCCCTATAATAAAGTTTGAATGGTGTTAACACTCCACAAATGCCCCGCAACTGCACCGCAAACACTGGACGTTTGCGGAGTGGCACCATAGACTAGAATAGGAGGCTTCAACTCCTGACTCGACCAGAGGCGTCCATTTTGCCGCGACGCTAAAGCTCCCGTTTGAACAGCACCATGTGCTGCAATGTGCAGAATTTTCCCAGGCATTTGGGAAATGGTAAAAACGCTTCCCAAACGCCTTTCTGCCACTTGCTAACAAGGCTAGTGTGAACGTAGCCTAACTCTCCTCAAATTTCTAGTGAAATCTGGCTGACATTAACACCATGGACAGCATTCAGTGCTGTTCACATTAGTGAAGCGTTTGTTGCTGCACTTCAAAAATGAAGCTTCATGTGGAGTTTGGAAGGAGTTGAAGCATTCCATTCAAGTCTATGGTAATGCACCATAAACACACTGGTACACATTTGCAGAGTGTTTGCAGCACGTTTAGGCTTTGTTCACTACAGCCCAAAAAAAAAAAATCTAGGGTGCGTTTTTATCATGCATCACATGCGCATAGGAAGTTTGGGGATCATTTTTATTGCTCCTTTAACGTGTAACTTAAACTCAACGAACAACTCACATTAACACTATAGGCATTTTGGTAACCTTCAGTATTTTGAGCAAGTGTTAACAAGGCCTTAATAGCATCCCTATGCATGTATACAAGTAAAAACATACATATTTGTGGCAGGTTTCAATTTGGAAATATAGTGCTTGCCATATGTGTGTGTTAACTTTGCTAATCCCAGCTTAATTTACGGAACCCAGCATGCTTCCATGTCTCGTCATATCAAAGCAATATATGATTGTAATGTTATTGTGGTGAGATACTGCCCCATGTGCAGTCATTTAATAAAGCAGCCTATAGATTATGCAACTTTCTTTACTACCACCATGGGTGGAAAGAGAGGGGGGAAAAAAAAGCTAGATTCCCAAATCAACACAGTCACTGTTGATAGGGGATTCCCTCCCGCTGCACTATTGTTTTGTGCTGGCGGGGAGCCTTCCTGGTCGGCAGAACACGATTACTGCTAGCGGCTATAGCCACCGGCAGTAATCACATGTAAAAAATCAGACAGTCTGCTTGTATCAAAGTCAGTCAATGGGTTGCCTTGGTACAACTAGCCTGTCCAAAGATAGACTGAATCTCAGCCGGTTCAGCAGGGGCGGCTCAGGTCTGAATTATGTCTTCAATCCTTCCTAAAATGAAATTACGCATACCACCTAAATGAAACTTGTGAACATTCACACTTGTATCTTCCTGGTGCATGTGCTTTAAATGATACTGATTAATAACCATGCAGTGACTGTGGGCAGCCTATGTTCATCAATGGAGATGTGGTGGCTGTAAAGACTCACCTGCACATCTGAGTTTGACAGGTACACAGCCCCAGATGCACAATGTTTGCGTTCGTGTCCGTGCACCTGTCCCTGCATTCCTGTCAACTTCAGATGTGCAGGTGAGTCCATACAGCCTCAGTGTCTTTGACACAGCACCACTGCATACTAAAGACCTGGGCACACAAGTCTGCATTTGCTGATGCATGGATGTAAATGTTTGTACTAATGTTTTCATGCATCCATCATTCATGGACCCTTTTGGCCTCTGCCACTATTTATTTAAGGCCAGCATGTAAACATCAACATATGCACTGTTGAATGCACAGATTACCGCAGCACAAATGTTACATGTGTACATCAGAAGGACAAGCAGGATCTTGCTGGCAGCAAAAGCCTATGTAGGGACATGAGACCTTAGACTGTCACTGTTAAGTAGTGGATACGTGGGGATTATTTTTGAAGAATAACATTGTTTAGTGTCACTTTAAGAAGTGCAGAGAATATTGGAGAGAGTGACTGTTGTCATCCTTGGAATAGAAGCTGTATGCAGGATACTCCTACTACTTCTTGTGCCAGCTCCCTGTGACATTTAGTTTTTAGTTTTCTATGAAGATGTGAATAAATTCACTTTCCCAGTAGGCTAGAAACCTCTGTGCCATCGTTCATTCATAGCTTCTCGAGCCATGTGGAATCGGGCTGTAGAGCAAGTATAGGCAGTGTGGACACAGAGTGAGGGGGAGGGATCGGTCATGATGATGAAACACAGGTTAGTGGACGTTTGCAAAGACAGGAAAGTGTCAAGCTGTGTCTGCTTATGCCTTTGCATTGTGACATTTATAAATGAAATATAGTCAGGCATCCTGTCGCAGAATGCAAAGTGTATTAATGTAATTTTCTTTATTGCACTTTAGTTTTCATGTGTCAGAAGTACAGTTGGCTTTTTGGTTTGTCAAACCGAATTTAAGCTTCTTTGTAATCTTTGCATCTGATTTGTCAAGACTCTGTAGGCTGTATGCTAATGTAACAGGGGTTAACGCAGTGTCTAATCATATCCGTTAAATTCAGACTTCAGGCACTTTGAACAAAGCTGGGTCACAAGGCTCCAACAGATTTTGGCAACCAGTTGTAGACCGGAAATGGATGTGAAGTCAGAACTCCAAGCAGGATTAAGAGGCACAGAGAAGGGGTTAAGCAAGTTTTTGTGTCTGCCTCTTTAGGATTAAGGGCTTTCTCCGCTTCATCCAGTTCATGATAATACATGCTGCAGTGAGGACGTTTTAACCAGATTAGTAATTTGTAACATATGGCTTCTCTCCAGTGGAGGAGTCACAAAACACTACCTCATTCTAAACCCTGTCCTGTGCGCCACACAAACAAGTCCATTCTGCACTCTGTAGGTTTTCTGAAAGTTTCATATCCTGGGCAGGTTTAAGAGTCATCTGTTGGATGAGCCAAGTAAGTTCCCTTGTTGATTGGGAGTTTGGCAGTTTCAGTTTGAACTAACGGACTAGTTTATTTGCTACTGTTATGCCCACACGTGACCTTTCCTGGATATTAAAAGTC